CAAGTGCTTAAGAATAGGGCTTGACTTCAATTACTTAAGTAGAATACTTCAAGAAAAAGATTGAAGGGATCATCTAGGAACCACCAAAGTCCCGTGTATGAAATATACAAGAATATATGAGAAAAAAAGAAGAAGATGACCATCAATAAAACGCGTGCTCACTCCACAAATTGATGACCAGACGCTCTTCAATGCAAGAATAAATATATATATATATGTATAGATGTATAAGCGAACAAGTGCAAATGGTTGAGAAGGAAAAAGAAGAAGGGGAAGAATAAAAAGAAAAAAACAAATTGAGGCAAAATGAAACAGAAAAAACTTTATATAAGAGCAGCTGCTTCAACAAGATCGTAGAGTCTGCCTTATGGCGGTAGTGGTGCAGAGATCAGAGTGAGAGCCATATAAACATTACTGCACAAATACATATAAACTCACCCTTACTGAACGTGTACAGTAAGTGATGGAGACAAGAAAACCAGCTGCATTTTAATAATACATACACACAAACACATAGATCAATTACTAGAGATACCAGCGAATGCAATCAAACTCTTAAGATATGATATCTAATGAAACGTCAAACTATATACAAAACTGGTATGAATGAAATTCAATTGTTTCGTGGTTATGAAGTGGCAAGAAAAAAAAAAAAAAAAAGACTTTATAAAGCCACAAATTAATTAAATGAACAGTAGCTTCACATATACACATATATATATACACATCTATGCGTAAAGATACTTGAATAACGACAACATTGCAAGCAGGAACGGCAAAATCAACTCATTCGACTTAAAAATAAATTAATTAAATAACTTGAATGAAATCAATGATGATATACGCATGTATATATATATACAAATACATGAACTGTATGATGTACATATATGTAGGTAGATACGTCACATATATTCATATATTCAACTGTACTCATTGATAATGTCTATCGAAAAAAATTATCTATAGTTTCTTTCTCTTGTAATGCGTTCACAACGTAAACATTATGACAAACTTGTCGCAAAAGCGGTAAAAAAAAGGCAAAGAAAAAGAAAAAAAAAAGCTTTTATTGCTCTCATTCTTTAATCGTCTTACACTGTACTCCATTTCTTTGTGATCCACTTTCAAAACATTAGGTTATAGCCTACAAAAACTTTTCATTACATTCATGCCTTCAGTCGGCCGATTCTATCAATTATTGATATAACTAGCGTGTTTCCCCTCTCTCCCCTCTCTCTCGCTCTCTCTCTCTCTCTCTCTCTCTCTCTCTCTCTCTTTATCTATATATATATATGTTGTACAATTAATAGCTTATCCGAAATCAGTTGCGTTAATGCCGAAGAAGAAGAAGAATGTGCAGCTTATTCAATTACACATTCTTAAGCGAACACTCGCAAGCACATTATAATTGCAATACAAATCATTCATAGTCTACATAACTTACGGGTATTGTTTTACGTGCGTGTATTTGTAGTTGAGTTTGTCTTGTTCATTTTCCAGTTTATTCGACGACGTCACATGCATTTATTTGCAAATTAAACACATTCACTTATATGCACATATAAACACTTATTATATACATATGTATATATATATATATATTTACTAAATAACCATTCACTTATACAAAAAAAAAAAAAAAAAAAAACACTGATATATTTGCGGCCCTAATTACGTAACACATAATAATAAAAAATTATTGGGAGAACATATTTAAATTTGAAGTAAGCTCTCAAGGCACTTATGAAACTATTGATCATTGTAGAGCTATCAATAAGCTCTAGTAACGAAAGGGTATGTACTTACACTGGACATACCTGCAATAGCACATCACTTTAATGTGACCTTTCTGAGTCTACATCGTGAGATTTGCTTGAGTTCTTGTTAGCATCTTAAAATCTACCCCTTAACCTTTGGAATGATATGTGCTTCAGCCAAGTCTCCAAATTACGCTACAAAGCATATTAAGTTTATTGGTATGTTGACACACACGTAGAAAAGCTCATCTTTCATTATACCCATCTAAGCTTGTCTGTCTGTCTGCCCACCTATCCGTCTGATGTCAATCCATGTAGTTTAGTGTTCAACCTACAGGTTGAGTCCAACGACTAACACCACTGAGAATGGTTCGGATCACTTTTTCGACCGCTCCCCACATAAAGTCGTTATATAAAAGTATAAAAGATGCTTTAACCGAGTATATTAAACGAAGCCCTGGCCGACTTATTTTTACCATTAAAATCGTTTTAATTAGCTTATCGGCCTGTCGCGCCTTGTGAAAAATTTAAAACCAACGCAGTCACGTCCAGGAGTCAGTTGGCGAGCAAACTGATGACTTTATTTTGTATCGTTGTAAATGTAGCAAATGGGAAATCCAACTCGATACGAAAGCAATCGAGTACCATCAGTCCAAAAGGTGTTCCTATCATTGTAGTCTTTCGTATCGTACTACAGCTCGATAACAAGAACCAAACGTAAACTGAAGAGAGTAATTTGAAGACAGGAAGAGTCGTACGCCAACAAGCCCAAGTGCGTGTGTAAACCTACCCTATGTACATTATGATTCAATAAAAAGATTGCAATTAAACAAAAAACTCTGTTTTATATTTAAATCAAATCTTGCGTAAATTTTGTGGCACCTTTTATTATGGCATCATTATATTTGATTAAGCTCCCGAGATTGCTTTCCAAACGCACTTTCGTATCTAATCTTGCACTTATCTGCTTCACTAACTAACTAATTGGAGAAAAAGAAGCAGATAATTAAGCAGTGCTGTAAACAGATCTTCCAAGCTTGACCACATTCCAAAATTACTTCTTCTTATCAGGCATCAGACGATACTCTAAGGAAGCAAAGGAGATGCCTTAAGGGGAACATTAAACTGAGAAGACTATTTTTTTGTTGTTTTTTTTCAACACCACCTATATTAAATGGAAAAATTATTGTCACTATAATCTGATGCGATAATAAAAATAATAATAATAAAAAAAAACTTTGTCTCTTTTGTCCAAGCTTCCTTATATGCATATACGAATTTATTGTGGGGCCCTCGTATAAATTCGTAAACCCACGCGCTGTGTAAAAGCATTTGCCAATATATTAAACATAATCGCTATGTAATTAAAGTTCAAGGTTTTATTTTTTTAAATGAAAATTTTAATTACCTTCACTGCCATAGAGGCGACTATGGCCGACGTTCAGTCAAATTAGTAAACGAATGACTTTTGTTTTTTTTTATTTTTGTAAATTTTACAAATTTTATTTTATTAACTTTTTTCGGATTTTTATACTTCTTTTCGAATCAGTTTTTAAAATAAAAAATATATTTTATTTTATAAAAATTGGCGTGTAAAAAATAATATTATTTTGTTTTCTTCTTTTTTTTTTTTTTTCTTATGATTCATTTAATAGTTAGCAAAATTAATTTTGCTAAATGTGTATATAAAAAAAAAAAAAAAATTAAAAACTAATAATTACTATAAATTTACAAATACATATAAGTTATAAGCAGACATTAATTTAAATAAACATATTTTTTAATTAAAAAATTAAAACTAAACTAATGTTTTCAGTAATTTCATATTTTTATTTTTTTTTTTTTTTTTTTTATAATAAAAATAAAATAAATCCTGATTTAAGAAAAAAAAAAATCTTAAATCGCTTTACTTGAATTTTAAAAATATGTGCATCGATAGGTTTCTCCAGTTTTTTGACTTCTTTCCTTTTTTTTTTTTTTTGTTTTTAAATTATTTATACATCGTTATGTAAACACATCTCGCAAAAAAAAAAAAAAAGTACAGATAATTTACTTCGTCTAGACTACAATTATTTAAGAATAAAAAAAAAGTCAAGAGACAAGGCAAGCTTCTCTCTTTTAAAGGGTTTCCCAAAGCAGCTTACTTCAAGAAGTAAGAATATTTTCGCGAAATAAAGTTGAACGAGAGACAAGGGAGGTTATGTTTAACAGAAAACATTACTAGCGGGTCAGCGAGTCCCCCAGCAGGAGCTTAAGCTTAAGTAGACATCATGAGAGTTATTCGTTATGCACAACATGCGAGCGTGCAAATTACATGCATTCATGACAGAAAACGTACGACAAATAAATGAGATAGCTTAGACTTTGAGCCTTAAATATGGGCATAGGAACTATGTTAATATATCAGACAAGTGGCCCAGTCGCTTTGCAGGCTTCTTTGAGAAAGTTATGTGTTAGAAGCTGTAACTATGCAGCAAAGCTTACTGGCTTGCTTGTGTTTGGGAATTAGGAATAAAGCGAGTACATGTAGGGTATAAAGTATCCCGACTAGCGGTTAGTTAGCGATCCAAACGAAGAGATGACGTCACGAAAAACTGTAATCAATTAAGATCGCCGAGTGGTGCTTAGTATGATATAAAATTCCTCAGACTAGCACTTACTTGGCAATTTGAAAATTGTGTGTGACGAAACAATTTAGACGATTAAGAGCCCCGCGGGGGAACTTTCATTTAGTTAATGATATGAAACTAATTCAAATCAAGAGAGCATATACGACGACAATGCCTTCTTTGCCATATCTCCACATGAAATTTTAAGCTTAAAACCAATGAAGTAATTATGTCTTATGTTCGTTCGCAACGTTTTAAAGAATTTCAGTCTAACAAGCCCCTAAGCAATGATTCTAGCTCGTTACTTGAAGATCATAGTATAATATCGAAGACGGCATATGCTCTTGTTCAAACCATTCTCCATATTTCTAATATTAATTTTAAACACACAAGCTCTGAACTGTTAAAATCTCAACTTGGCTTGGGAAACCCTGCACTTACATGTCCACCAAACACTTAGCCAATTTAACGCGACTCTTTCTTAAAATACTATCCTTTCTTATAAATATTTATGTTTGTTTGTTTTTTTTTTTTCTCTCTCTCTTTTTCGTTTTTATTAAAGATAAACTATTTATACTTATTTCGTTTTAAATAATATTAAAAAAAAAAATTATAATAATAATAATAATAATAATAATAATAAAAAAAGACTTATTCATATAAAGAATGTTTTTAAATGCTTCTTGCTTATTTTACATATTGAAAACGATTCAATTTCATACAATAATTCATTCTCTCTTGAAAGAAATCGTAAACATTCGATTCATTGATTATTTAAACATAAATTTTTTCTCTTTTAATATTTAAATAAAAATCACTTTGTTTTCGTAATTGTAATTAGTAATCAAAAAAAAAAAAAAAAAAAAAAAAAAACCTTAATTCATTTAGTTCATAAAGTCAAACATCATTCTTTCCATAAATTAAATATGTGTTCGAGACAAAAAAATCAGAATCTGTGTCGGAAGGTTCCTCACCATACATATCCGCCAATTTACGGAAACGAGGACCAAAATCGGATAAACATTCGAAATTGAGATCGCCATCATCAGTACACGAAGCTAAACTCGATAAGCTACCGTCAGAGTTGCCGTCACCTTCATAAGCGTAATGTCGTACGTCGTCGATGGGGAACGAACCTATCTCTCTGTCGCAATTCTCCTTCTTGTCGCCGAGAAAACCTCCAATATCCGGTATTTCAGCCGGCGGATTGCCAGCGTGCAGAGTATGCGGATCTTTGTACAACGTTTCACGATAATACGGCTGAGTAGTGCGCAACACATTCAAATCGTAATCTGTGTCACGTTCACCGCCACCTTCGTCCTCATAATTAATAATAGTTTCTCGTATATCGTCAATGTCTTTTTCGTGCCAACCGTTCTTTTGTTTCTTCTGCACAACCACCGCCAGCAGTATAATCAATAATAAGGCTATGCAAGTAATAATAGCTATAATAAAGTTCCGATCAATTCCAAAACTGACCGCCACCGCTACCGCTCTTTGGCAACCCGAGTCAATGTGACGAGAGACTGCCGGAGCTCCCAGATTATAAGTGTGATTATTAATCACGAGATTGCGTATGCAACCAAAGAATCCCTGTTGACCGGGTATATAAGTCCAATTTAGCTGATGACCTAAACGAACTAAATCCACAGGTGTCCCTCCCAGCTGCAATGGAGCATTTACATTTAAGAACTCATTGGGACCCTGTGGAGCGCCCAAGCTCATGCACGTAGACAGACGGCAATTATCAACAGTCATTTCAATGCTTGACTTCTGCAACACAACATCCAACTGATAAGCTCTACCCACTTGCAACTGGATATGCTGATGTTCGATACGTACACTACCCGAACCATAATCTACGGTCAATACTGGATATCCTTTAATTAATTCTAAGGATAGAAAGTCTGTTAAGGGTAGCAGGGGATTAAAATTTAATGGTCCGAGATACATTATCAATCCATAATCCGTTTGTGGTGCTATTTCCAAACTAATATTCGTATTATCACAGGCGGCAATAGGCTCGTAAAATGCATAACCGTTACCATAGAAGCCTACGGACACTAGTTCACAATGAGGTCCGGTAAAACCTTCGATACATTCGCAGGTGTCATCTTCTCCCAATTTCAAGGTGCCACCATGCAGGCACTCGCTTCTGGTCTTCACTTCACACACGCATTGAGCTTCAATGAACGCATGCACTCCCACAAATGAGGTAGTATTCGAATAGATCGTATAAGGCACTGAGGATTTATGCAACATATTCATGCACGACAATTCACATTTGTATTTCTCTATAAGGCACTCATCGATGTTGACCATTAGAATTTTTAGGCCCAATTCATTCTCCAAGTCTTGTTGATGTTGCGCAACTATACCATTTAATTTCTCCGGAGCGTAATAAGGCGAACCATGGGCGGAGTAACGAACATCCAAAGTATTATTTGCATTTTGTAATACTGTAAAGACATCAACGTTGGCTACCGAAGTATTAAAAAGTTTAGATAAATAAAACTGCAAGCGATCTTTCAACGACAAAGCATTATTGCCTTGAGCGTATCTCGGTATACTGATAAAATCTTCTTTGGTTACATTATAGAAACGTATACTGCCACTTTTGTCTACGGCTTCTTCGGGCAATACGTATACAACCACCGTTACATCGGCGTCAACCGAATGCCGTGGTATAAATGTCGATTCTTCGGTTACTACAAACTGCAGAGAGTATTCACCTTCGGGCGTTCCTTCCAGAATAGTAATTGTACCAGAGCTAGGATTTAAATGGAAGTAATCGTGTGGTATACCCTGAGACCAAGCAAATGTCTTATCATCCAAATCCCAATCATCTAAATCGTCGACAAAAACGCGACCAATTTCAGTATCTAAAGCTTCCCCTTTGTAATTATAGAAAGTAATGCGCGACGAGCCCTCCGACATTGCATTATCGTTCACGTCACCAATTATCAAATGAAGAATGCTAACCGAACTTTGACGTGGCTGACCAGAATCAGTGATCCGTATACGTATAAAATATTCCTTTTGCTCTTCCCGATCGAATTGAACATTGGCGAAAAGATAATCATTGTCTATACTAAACTTAGTCTTAATGTCGGCAGACGATTCACTATCAATACCATATGTGTAGGGAGGGCCGTTCTGAGGCTCGTCATAATCGTTAGCTTGCAATTGCACAACTTGACCGGGATTGCGATTCTCTTGCCATATCACTGGCATTTTATTAATCAAGAATGGAGCGTTGTCGTTGATATCTTGGAGATTAATAGTAACGGGAGCTGCGGTTTTTTCACCGGTGCCGTCTTCATCGACAGCAGCTATTAAAACTTGCCAACTCTTATGACCGTACGGCAAATCCCTATCCAATGGTTGTATTAATCTTAAACAACCTTTATCATCAATGCTCAACAACTTTTTATGCTCCTCCTTAACCACAAAATATTTAATATGCTGATCGGCTGTACGATCTTTAATATCAGGATCGTAGGCTTCGATATTCAAGATGCAACTTTCGAATATCGTTTCCTCCGGTATCGTTTTAGTGTAAACTTCCTTGAAAACAGGATTATTGTCGTTGACATCTTGAATTTTAATCGTAACACTGGCGTAATCATCAAAAATGCCATCAAATGCTCGAATTTTTAATACATACTCGGTGATATTTTCATAATCTAAACGAGAATTAACGGTAATTTTACCGGTTTGTTCTTCAATTTTAAAAGCGTTGCCCACATTGCCATTCTCTATAGTATATTTGATTTGCGAGGCATTGTCCTCATCCTCTGCCGTTACCTCAATAACTTCAAAATTGATTTCAGCATCTTCGAGCAATTTATCGGCCACGTATTCAGATATTTGAAAATGCGGTTTATGATCGTTCTTGTCTGCTATGGCAATATGAAAGACTTGACGACCGCGATTAGGTTCACCATTATTATAGAGACTCGATGGCGAGTTATCGCTGGCTATGACCTTAACATTGTAAAAATCCCTTTCTTCTCGATCGAATGTCGTGAGAGCGGTAATGTTCCCCGTATGCGAGTCAATAGCGAAATATTCTCGATTATCGGCCAATTCGAAAGATACAATATTATTGGCTTCGGTGCCATCCATATCGAAGGCACGCACCTGCATAACAGGTGTACCAGCCGGCTCGTTTTCCAATATGGTTCCAGTTTTAACTTCAGTAAAATAGGGAATATTATCGTTAACATCTTCGATCTTTATCTTGATTACATGATCTGTGCCTAAATCGAAAGTGTTTCGCGCGCTCATTGTCAACGTATAATCCGTAACCGATTCATAATCCAAAGTTTTTCCCAGACTTATGGTAACGGTATTGCCAATTTGATTGAAGACAAATGTTTTCTTGCTATTAGTTTGTTCGGTACGACCCGTTATTAATTCAAATATCACTTCGGGTTTATTCGGAACATTCGAAACCGCATTTAATGTAACAATGGGTGTTGAAAAATCTTTAAAATCCTCCTTCAAATAGATAGGATCATCGATGGGATCAATAAATGATGGCGGTTTCTTAGACGACTCGACTACGCGTATTCTAACCTCAATCTGGGCATCTTGCGGTGGATCAGGAACTATATTATAAGCTCTTACAGTTATAGTATAATGCTGGCCTGGTCGTTTATCAATGGAACGATTAAGGTAAATAATGCCGGCCGCTTTATCAATACGAAAATACAGATAATCACGTTCCGGTAATATTTCATAAGCGACAATTCTATTATTTCCATCGTCGAGATCACTGGCACTGATACGCATTACAACGGCATTGGGCTGCAAAAATAAGAGCAGAACAAACAAAAAAATACATCTCTATTGATATAGGACAGACATCGTTTTTATTGCTTTTTTTTTTTTTGTACATTTTACGATAATGTCAACAATGGCACATCAATAACAATAATAAGTAATATAATATTACAAGATTTTCGGAAATGCATACATACATGAGTTGTTATCACTATAAAGTAGAAGCACATCATGAAAAGCTCAATAAATACGAATTATGTTTAACTTTCGTTTTTCTTAATTCAATTCTGAGTAATCGATAATATTTTTCTTTTGCCACTTAAACTTGTAAAGTGTGTGTACTTAAAGAACCTTCAAACATTTCTGAGAAAAGAATATCTATCTACTACTCAAAAACTGCTACTAAGGCTAGAGTGTCAATAAATAGAAATTGAAATAATTGCTAGAGAAAGAGGAAAATATTAGCACACACATGTGTACTTGAAGACCATGTCTAAACACTTACGAAAGGGGGCGAAGGCAAAGGATTAAAGAAGAAAATAAATGTGCGCTTTCAAGGTTTTTCTTCAAGTTTTCTTTTGCAGCATTTTCGTTCAGCAGCAAGTCGCTCGCATACCTTATAGGTCTAGCTACTAACGCGAAATTCGATTATGAAAGGGATAGAAAACGTAAACTACATGAATAAGCTTTTGCATCTAATTGCACATGAATACTTACGCTGACACCTACCACAACGTGAACGATGAGCAAGAGAACTAACGCTTAACCATATTCGTTCTCCAAAGAAGTTCATTTACCTTATTAATAAATACAATGTCGTAGTCAACGATTTTGAAATTGAAAATTCATGACGAGGTTTACGCTGCAGCTCTATACCTTTTTTGAATTTGATCCAAAGTTGTATACTGATTACGAGTATGATTTTTAATCTTGCAAAGAACCAAAGAGAGGCACTTTGAAGTGCAACCTTTGAAGTGTCTTAGTTATTCAAGAGTATACTGTCTTTAGTCTTCAAAATTTACCTAACTTTAAAGCAAATTAGGTTACTTTGCGACTTGGGATTATTGTGGGCAGCAGTAGGCTTAATTAAAACCCGTTCAATTTGATAGGGGATGCGTGGTCAAATAGGATGGGAAAAATTCCATTAGCCAGCTCTCCTCGTTCATAAATTTCCTGATATTCTTAATATCTCCTAAGAAGAAGTTCTTTCTTTTATTGAAGTACAATTTGCGCTGAAACCAAGCTGGCACAAGAAAGGTGGTTTTTTGGGTAACTTGTTGCCGAAAACTTTTGACAGTGCTTGCAACGGACTGGAAAAGGGAAAGTAAACTTTACTCTTTCCTCTGCATTCATAGAGCAGAGGGCATCTCAAAAAAGATTGACTCAATAAACCCCTGAGACATTGTTATAAGGCGAGCGCTACTCTTATTTTGTGTAGTGAAGGGTAGCACAGAGGCAGCCATATCATTTGTACTTATGTACTTATCTATAACCCGAACGCCCGCAATGTCACGAAACTCACAAAATGTGAAAACCATAACATAATGGTAAATCGCCACTTCCGTTAAGGATTTATGGCATTAGAAGAAAATTCCGAAGATAATGAAAAATTGGTTTAGAATCTAATGCCAACACAGCTATCAATATGCCTGTAAATGTCCCTAAAGGAGACTAAATGGTATCTAAGTGGGAATCAATTGACGATCGACTTCCACGTCCCAATTAATGTGTGTGTGTGCGAGCATTCTTATCGCCTTGCGAGCCCCAAAACTGTACATAATACACAACTGTGTTTGCAAAAATTAATATTTCAGTGCCCAATTCATACCTGCGGCTTGGAAGGAAGTATTTTTTCGAATAGGGGGGGCGGATGTATAACTTTCAATGGCGCTCACCACCGCACCATGCGAGTGGGCTGCTCTTAAGAGAAATTGAGTTGAAGAATTATATATATATATATATATATATGTTTCGGATAAGTACTATCACAAGACCTAAAAAATAATTGAATTATTGAAAGCGAAGATTCCTGAGCTGTAAGGAGTAACGCCGCTGTAATTTTTTCAGAAAATTAAATATTTTTCCTTTAACTTAATAGAGATTTGAACCTTGTAACGCATTTTATAAAGAATTCTTTGTCTACTTTCGCAGTACTCCGAAAAGGGCGCCTTTATGAGGTGTCCCTGCTGGGAAGTTAGCACTTACTTTCTTATTTGAAGGGTATTTAATTACTCCAATATTCTAACAGAAATCTTGAGAAACAATTTATTTTCGTGTAAAGGCATTTCCAAGCAAAAATGCGTTACTGTAAATTCATTAAAAATAGGCTGGAGTGACGTTTCGAAAACTTTCAATGCCTCCGCCAACAAAAATTTAAAAATTTAGGGTAAACTATGTGAAGTGGATTGTGAGTTTGGCTATAAAAAATTATAAATTTTCTTGGCTTTTCTGGTGCTGCGATTGCAGACTAATGAATAAAAAATTTATTACGATAAAAAATGTCTATAAGAAAAGTCAAAACTTTGAAGGAGTTTTTCTAAAAAGACGGTTTTTAAAAACGCCACACAGAATAACGCGAACAATTTTCATTTCTTTCTTTTTCGAATTTTGTACAACAGCTTCCAAATAGTATTCTTTAGTGAAACATGTAGAATACCTTCGATTAAGTTCATTCAAAGAGCTATCATTAAAGTAAAAGAATAACATTTTGTACTAAACACTTCCTGTAGTGGAATATGTGGTCTGGTACGATAACATGTTAAATTTGTGTCGAAGCATTCATAACCCAGAAAGACCTCAGATATATCTGTCTTTTATTACTATACTGATTACTATAGTGGTCGGTTTACCTTTGCCTATCTGTCTGTCCGCTTTGCTTTCTTTTCTTTAAGGAATATTTTTTAAATATTTTTTAGTACACTGTCGTGTTTCGGCCGAAGGACGAACACTATTAAAAATGGTTCAAATCGGACCACTTTTTCGATTGCTTCCCATACAATGCTTTACTTTCAAAAGACCTTATATGAATAACTTTTGCAGAGTATATGGTACTCAACTGTGCGCCGTGGATCACAATAGTGTTTTTTACTTATTTCAGCCAAAAATATTGATAAATGTAGACATATAGGCGAAGTAATTTTTTTTCTTAATGGATTGAAATTTGCACGAATTACAGTGCATTACCATTACTTTTCGATTCAACCTAAAAAAATTGTCAAAAAACCACATTTTCTTTACTGCTAAATTTTTTTATTCATATTCGAAATCTTGATCAACATCAACAATTATATATTACGTGGTGTTCAAACTTTTCAACATTTCAGCTAAAGCTCGATAACAATCTATATATATTTCCATCTTAGGACCTAAAAAAACTCACTATATCAGGCTTCGTTTTTTAGTATTCCTAATATTGAACAAGTGCGAAAATTATATTCGGTCGTGACCGGATCTCTTATTCTCAGCACCATTATCCTGAAAAGGACAAGAAGTAATGGAAGTTTCATCTTCTATAATGCGAAGTGGGCGCAACCAATTTATTCTATTTTCAAAATAAAAACTTTTGTCCCATAAGCGTCTGGGCGTGTTCTTGAAAAAGTTTCAATCATTTCTAATTTCTTTTGCAAATTTATAGGCGATACCTTCATTTTCGCTAACGGGAGAATGCTTACCACAAACACTAAACTAAACCGTTGCGCAGACAGAGAGGTGGACAGACGAACAGATGGACATGCTTAGATGTATTGCAAATTTGAAACTGGCTAAGAATTTATGGAGTTTTTGAGGCATATTTTTGCGCCTCATAAAGATGCTGAAAAAAAATTAAATTTTGATACTCTATAATACTGGATAGGCGTGGTTAGATTTTTCCATTTTTATGCGGATGCTACAGCATTGCCCCTAGAATATGCGTTTACATTTTGTATACTTATCTGCTATAGTTAATATGCAAAAAAACAATTTTTTATTGCTTTTGCGAAACAGAAATGCTCTCAGTGTACACCGTGCCATGGACGTGTCGTTCGATCGATTTGGACCAATTTAATGTTGCTGCTAAATTTGAAATTGATAGCTAATTTCGG